CCTATCATATCATTGTATTCTCGTTGATCTAGCATTACTTAGCATAATATTGTTATGAAAATGTTCAAGAATTGGTGCAAGAAGGTTATTTACATACCATGTCCTGCTCCCCGGATTTTGCATTATCTTAACAACATCAAAAAACCTATAATTTATTTATTAAAGTGATCAAACTCAAGCTGAGAGAATTAATCATGATCTTGATGTAATGATATGAATGATAAAAATAAAAATCAATATCATCAATATATAGAGTTCTAGCAAAGAAAAAGAATACTGTTACTTAATTGTCAATCGAAGTGGCACTTTGTAATGCTACCATGTCTCTATAGGACATAAGTAGACATCTAGTCATATACGAATATGTGCCATATGAACACACTTTATGGAATTACGCTTGTTTGCGAAAGTTTGATGGGATTAGATTTTTAATGAGAAAAGTTACGTTGTGTCCCCCTGCCCACTGTTACATTTATTACTCGACTGGTGGACTCGCACGTGAAAAACAATCTGCGACTTATCGAGCCATCCGTAATAGTATGCAGTCACCATTTAAGGAGGGCTGGATATACTACTGATATAGTGCATCTCTCAAAATATATGTCACGCCTTATGAAGGTGAAGGTGGTGGTGCGATGAGATGATTAGACCAACTTTTTTTAAAATTCATCTCTCCAAACCCAAGATAATCGTCTCTCAACTCATTTGTTTAATGCATGTATGTAAACCAGGCGAGTTTTAGTCGATTCATTATTGGTTTAATGCAATGTCAACACCGGAAAAGGGATCAGTGTGAAGGAATTACCAAATGAACACGTGCGTTAAATATATTTACGTTGTCTACGACACAAAACACACATTTCTCATTCAGTATACCGGAGTTGGCAAAGACGAAAAGTAGATCCGTCCTTCCTGTCTTAACTTAACCCGGGTAAGTTGACCTAGTTTCATCCAATTTACTGTTGTTCCCAGAATTCTGTACTGTCTTCCAAAATAAACCTGAGACACTTGCCTCGTTTTCAGTGCCTGAAAGTCTTGGACTGGAGTTTGTAAAAAAGGAGAATACCGGATATCTTGAAGTCACTTGATGTGTCTCCCTCGAGAATGACTCTGTATATACTCGTACAAATGGAGGCCATCAAACGAACAAAGGGCAAATAATATGTGTGTAGTAGTTCTTGTTTTACTGATGCAGAAGGAGGAACTGAACTAGTTTTACATATTCAATACACGTGCGGAACTTTTCTTTGCCAATTATCTGCTGCTATTGTCACATGAAATTGCAACTGGAATGAATTATTTGGAGAGGGTACAAATATGTATGTATGTACGTATGAACGACGAGGCGTATCCAGCATGACCAATCCCCGTTTTTCATGTCTGTACCTGCTATTTAGGGAGACCAAAGGTGCAAACATTTTTACAAGGAATCAACAAGAATTGTCGAGCAGGATTTGTAGTTTTAACTTCTCGGCTACAATAGCATAATAATGACAACAACAATGCCATGGCATATATATGTATGACGAGCATTTACATATAATTCATTATGGGATTCACTCATCGTATATATGTACATAGCTCCAAGATTGCGGATTCCAATATATTTGAGACGAAGGGAGTGACACGAGAGCTCATTTCGTAGGTTTACGCCCAACTCTAGCCTTAAAAACAAACATGCAAGTTCTGCACAAGGGTTCTGTACATATCTTAAGCTGTTGTTTTCGGCAAAAGATATCTATCTCTATCTCCTCGACTGACATTTAGATTGAACTTTATGGCACACGTTGCAAGCTAATGTTACAAGCTGTAAGGTCAGCTTGTCTCGGCATGGGCTGTGTAAGGAAATTAAACATAATTTTATCTTATATTTCGGAATTCATTGTTTTTCAACTTGGTGGTTTCATTCTACTTTCCTAAAGTCTGAATTACAAACTGATTTCGACTCTTTGTATGTAGAATGATAAATCAATTCAGAACATATAAATACGGCAAAGATCGTTTGTCAATGTCTTTTCCTGTCTGTTTCAGTCATTCCTGTACAAAACCCATCTCGCTCTTGAGATTTGCTATTTAGTGCGAGTTTGCTAAAACGGCTTTTCACATCTTTTCATCACTGGTAAAATGAGCCTTTTATTTTGAAATATTAATCTTCTAAACACACATTTACTAATTATTCCCAACATATTAATAGGAAAGGGTTTCTGACTGTGCTGTACTGAATCTGTATTTATGACCCAATTTATATCTTGTTTTAAAATTTGCAATAGTTTGTAGATTGTAGTTTGTGGATTCGTAGTACTACGCCCAAGAAGATTCTTTCTTGGAATAAGGGGAGAGGTCGGTACGTTGGTTGGGAGACACATTATTATGAGAAACTAGCATCTGAACTGAAACATGCCCGTTGCAAAACCTTTCCCTTAGGCGTTGTTTAAGAGAAGTGTGGTGGGTGGGCAGGTGTGGATAATGTTTAATGGTCACATATCTCTTTACTACATGCGAAGAAGCACTTATCATAAGAGCAAACCTGGTTCCTGTCTGACATGGGTTTGCTATTTCTCCAAGATATTTCTCAGCACAAAACACTGCAGGAAATAGTAGAAACGAATATGAGAACGGATATTGGAATTCGAATCTTGTCTAGTTCATACAGCCCATGAATTCTGAATTGTGGCTGAGTTCAACCGACTGAAACTTTATGCAATAAAAGGAAATTTTATGACCAGCCCAATACCTTTATACTGCTTCCGAGTCTCCATTATTATACGCGACAAGACGTACTCCACCGATGGTGGAAAGGACCTTTAGTTGAAAGCGGATTGGGATATTGGCCTTTAACACAACTTGAATGTGAATTTGATTGATTATTTCAATTTCATTTGACCCACTGAAGGAGACAATTAAATGTGAGTAATGTGGAGTGTATGGATATACATATTCAGTAATCAGTGTGGACTATTTGCTTTTTCTCAAGAACCCTTAACAACACATGTTTATGAAGATAAGGAAAAGTAGGCAAACACAGCACCATAAAGCCCACTAATGGCTGTCTAGAAAAGAAGCCAATGATGAAGCATTTACAAAACTTCCACTTGAAAAGACTTTTACATTTAAGAATCATGATCTTGAACTTGTTCCTTTCAGAGGTTTTCCAAATATGGTTTGAACACTTACACAAATGAAAAACTTTTAACTCTTGGTAAATCCTAAATACGCACTGCTTCATACATATGCACTCTCTCAACAATACAATTTGATGGCAGATATAGATAGATACATATATGATTTGCAAACACATGGTAAATTGTAGTGCACAAGTCAGCAGCGCATACCGCAGAACAATCGAAACTTTTTTGTAGACCACAGCAACACAGTGGTGATCAATTTTACCTCTTCATAATACTAGATTAACAATCTTTGATTCAATCTCATTTTGTTAGGATTGACATGCTTTGAATTCCTCGCGACTCGATAAATTAATGTTGAAGATAAATTTTAATTGGATGTACAACTTTTATGATTTAGACATAGAGGAGCATGTTTATACCAATTTTTTCGCATGTGCTTATGTACAAACATAAAAACGAGATACATATGCAACCACCATTAGCTATTTTAATTTTGTTTTTCCTTAATTGAGATTGATTTGTTATAATGTAAAGTCAATATTCCATAAATCCATACACCAAACCAGACACGTGTCATGTGCATTTTTAGTAGGATTAATCTCATGAAATGGACAAAAAACGAGGTATGGTCGTCAATATGCATTACATTTGAGTAAATGTAAATGGAGTGTGGTTTGTGGTTCTGTAAATATGAGGAGATAAGTTTCGGGTGCATTTGTGTAGAGACTAGATTGTTATTGTTATTTCCTGTAATCCTTACAAATGACTGTCTCGTTTTAGTCCATCCTTTTTCTTCCTTCTTATGCATCATTATGATGCTACATATTCTTGCACATATTTTCGTTGTTGGTATGTGTTCCGGAAAGATTTTGTACTTCAATCCCTTGTTTTGTTTAGTACTTTAGAGTTAGCGTATTTAGGGATTTTTGTCATGTATTATGATGCATAAAGTGCTGTTACTAACAAGTTAATGTCCTTTTCTGAAAGCTTATGGATCTGTTTTTTTTCTGCTAAGCGTGTAAAAGCAATACGAGTTTTCTAAAGGTCAAATAAATGTGGTTGCACTGACTAATAAAACAAAATCTTGTCGATCTGTGGTCATCTGATATGATCCTACATAAAAGTTATTTTGAATTAGTAATACTTTCTATTTAATGGCAATCAATAACGTTCTAAAATAAATTGGAGGGGGAAATTGTTTAGTGGAAGAGCAAGTAAAACCGCCATTAACGACGTCTCTATATTTTGTGCGTTGCCTTTCACTGTACTGCGTTTGATTACCATTATTTTGCACATGTTTTCGAAAGTAGAAACATACCGATATCATAAATGATAATAAGTGGTTATAACGATTCTCAAGGAAGTGGACAACGTAGTGGGGTAGCAATAAGGCAAGTGATCTGCTAAGTAGCTGCAGGATTCATTGGGTGAGTATGTACACTCACTCACTCGGGTCGATAAGTAATGAACCAATGCAGTCAAAAGATGTAATAGAAGGTGGAAAATATCACCATTGTGTTGGTAAGGTAGACGGGGAGGGAAGTTGTATAGTAATAACCAGCACACGAATAAGCTCAATGTTTGCTAAGGTGCAAAAGAAGGCCCACTAAATCCCAATAAGCTCCACAGTTCACAAGCGAGAACGAGACACTGCATCTCATCTAAAGTCGCATAATCTTGTAGCAAATGGACTCGCACTCTCTGAGGCATCGCAATCGCGTTGCTGGTTAATAATATGAAGATGTATTTTGTTGCTTTAGTCGTTGAGCTGGATTGGGTCAGATTAGTCATTATGCATCTGCACGAAAGCAGTTTATTACTCACCTCGCTTGCTGCAACAGTTGACTGTTGTTGAGTTGAATGGAGACTTTGGAATTATAAACTGCAGTGAATGCAAAGGTGTTTAGTAGTGCTAGGTGGTAATAAGTGGTTGGTAGTAAGTGTGTCACCATCAACGACAATCAAACTTTAAGCGAGCGTCCTTCCACATTTTAAGTTATACGAAAGGCAACTTGTGCAGTTTGGCGCATGGCGTGCGTGCAGAGTGATCGTTTGCTTCAATGATTGCAAAGAGATAATAATAATTTGCATGAATATTTCGAGTTTAAGTGGGGGTGACGAGGACTGAAGCAAATAAAATATTATTACTTATAAGAGCAAGAGTAATGTTAAATTTCATGCACATTGTGACGATAATGGATTAAGTTTAGTTTTGCTCCCAATGTTGCCTTGCTCAAACAAGACACTCGCCAAGCAAAAATTATATCCCCGGATACGACCACTGATACGAGTAGCGTAGAGTTCATATGAGGAAGCACGAGTACTAAAACTTCCGGATGGTGCGACTATTTCATGGGAGATGTGTTTTGAAAAGTAGTATTAAGAAAGCTACATGTGCGAGTGGATAAGGGCTGCAGTCCTAAATTTACTTGGTGGATCAGAGAAAATTGTTCAATTTTCTCCAGTAGGCGGAACGATCTTTCATTCTAACCAATGTTACTGCGTCCAAAACATGCGTCACCGTGGCTAAAGCTATTTTTGAGCTGAATTAAACTAGACGATTTGAGCGGCTCTTAAAGTCTAATAAATGAAGTTAGCGTCGAACTTGGAATCATCCGACAAAGGGCTTCCTCTTCTCTGCTGCAACTAGTGTTCTCTCTCCGCTACGACTAAGAAACCTTCAAAAAACCGACCGTGCTTAATCCGAAAAAGTGTTGTATGATTCTCTTGAAAAGTTGGATGAACTAAATCTAGAAATGGCTGTTATGTTCCTTGACAGATCGGAAGTTTTATTCCAGCAGTGAAAGTTTGAAGCACCCGTGAAGAGTCGAGACGTGAAATTGATTGCTTGTTCTGCTGATGGTGTAGACTGGCAGTGAGTATTCATACAAGAGCAGCTCACAAAGAAACAACAGCAGATATATGTACAAGTACTTAAGACATGTGAATAACAAAATTGAGCAAGTCCAAGGAAATGAGAACTCAAGCTGCTGTATACGCATCATTTAAAAGATTACTCCTTTAAGAAAAGCTTTCTTCGGATAGCACGGAACCAAGATTACATACGCTTATTGTGGTGATTGGACACTGAACTGCTGCTGCTGCACAGCTTTTTCATTTCTCAACAATGGACTCGTGTTTCTTCAGCTGAACTATTGTAGATTTTTTCTTGTGAATGGAATCAGCTGCAGAGCCAGTTCTTCCTTTTTCCTCATCTCATTTTGAGTATTCTACTAAATACGGGTCGAAAACTTGTTTTTATGAATATCAAAAACACCTTTCCTATTGAACCATAAAAATGATCCTTTTCTTGCTATTCTGAGCATCTGGAAGGGCATGCATGCAAGAATAGGATGCTCTCTCTCCCAAATATAAAACTAGCAAAGTCTAGAACTGTATTTTTACTTCAAGAACTTTAGTATATATAAATATGCCCTGGCCGTTCTCCGTCGAATGTATTCATGTATGTAGGCACAAATATATGCATAAATCCTTCTCGGAAAACAATCATGTGAAAGATTATCCCACTTTTTTCTCTTGTTAAAAGTTGATTAATTCAGCTTCTTATTAAACAAGCCTGAAAAAGGTCTGTGTTGGTGATGCCTCCATTCAAACTTCCGTTTGTGTGACTTGAAGCCATGTTATTAATCACACTTGAAAAAAGAGAGCAGCTACAGAGTGAGATACGAAGACAAGAAGAAGGAAACAGTCGTCGTCTTCCGTCTGTTGCTCTAGTCCTTCATGTCGGTTTGTTATGCTCTGCTGTGTAAAATTCCCAAGATTATAAATGGATGCGTCGGACGAGTTTAAATTTGTAGTGGTTAGTGGAAGAACTCGCAACAACGGTCATCATAAAGAGGGTTGTAGAGATCCACTTCCTCGAAGTGGCAGTGTAGAAAACTTGAGGTCCGTTCCTGTACGCATTTACAACACGAGCAAGAATCTCAAACTTGAGTTCTTGTGGAATCGAGCTTTCAAACTTTTCCAACATAGAACGGTAAAAGTGTATCAAGCCGTGTCCGGGATCAATTATCAAGAAAGCTACGGAGAAAGAAGCTGCAGTCATTCCGGGACAAGTCGGTCCACGGGGATCAGTTTAAGAGCCAAAAGTCTAAGTCATAGTCATCTAAGTATAAGTGGATTGGAAAACATAATGGAACAGCCGGGGACAAGTCGTGGAAATTGTAGTAGTGGTGGTGGAAAAGGAGGAAGTAACCGTAAGATTCTTGTTGAGGGGAGCAGCAGTGGCAACAACGACGACGACGACAATAAGATCAAAACTGCATACGAACAACATCAACCAGTTGCAATGCCAAGAAAGAGAACCGTTTCTAAGCTGGCAAGTATTAGCAGCAGCAGTGGTAGCAGAAACAACGCAACAACCACTGTCAATGCTAATCCTACTACTTCTTCCAACAAGCAGCAGAGACCTGTCAGTATTTCCGGGGGTGAAAAACCTCAAGGTGACGAAGGAAGAATGGATGATAATTGCATCTCAATGGGTAACAACATTCGCATTCCTCCTCCATTTCTACCTGCTCATTTGAGACGAAGTCAGAGTGCCAGGAGTCGCTGCAGTGTTGATTCCCTGTTGAGCTGTCATAATCATAATGACAACGGCGAGATTTCTTCTACTCATGTACTTTCATCCAACTCGTCACAATTTCATTCCCGTGTGCACAAAAAGTTAGCAAAGTCCAACACGCAACCAACCCCGGTAGCAGCAGCAGCCAGTCCAATCTACAATAATTCGTGGTCCATTTCTTCTTCTCCATGTCCGGATTTTGGCTCAACTGGAGCGTTTGAGAGAGGAAATTGCTCCGACGACTGTTCATCGGAAATTGTGAGCAATTTGGACTCAGGTCTTGACACCTGGAAGGCTACCACACGAAGCCCAAGTCCGTGTTCTTCTGGAATGAAACCAAAATTGAGAGATTCTTCGGGTATAGTCTGTACCATTTCCCAAAGGATTCCTACTTCGGATGCCAAAAGTGAAGGGGCGTTACAACCAGAAGCAACCTCTCAAATAAGTACCAGATACGATGACAGTTTGGAAAATTGTCGAAAGATGATGAACTATAATAACAATTGTTCCGGAACTGGGAACACAACCGTGGTTCTAATAAACGGGTGTTTTGAATCGGACCTGTGTCAAAATGTTGCTCAATATGATAGCCTTAACCTAAGTGACTATGATTATGAGTGCATGAGTGAAGTGGATCTCAATAGTGAGCCTGGGTCAACGGGTTCTGGAGTTGTTGCTGCTGCTTTTGTTGGAGGAGTCAGTAGTGGTGTTGTTTGTGACAAAGAAAAATTAACCCGTGTTTGTAATCTATCATGTGAAAATAATGAGTTGGACAGTTTAGATCTGACTTTGTTTGAAGAAGCTCGTCGAGCAGGGCCCGTGGCGTCATTTTGTGCGACAATAATGACGGACACTACATTTCGACAAGATAATGATGAACCGTTGTATGACACAGTGTGTTCTGAAGAACATGGTGATAGTTTATCTGGTGTCAGAAATTACACCCCCAACGAGAGTGGTGGTAGCAATAACATAAATTCATGGAGCGATGCTGGAAGTGAATTTGAATTCATGTCTACAAATGCTGCCTCCAGTAATTATTTTATTTGTTTCATAAAATATTCTCCTATTTTTAACGTACCTATTGAACTAAATTTTGGAGAAAAAAGAAATGATTGTACTTGGGCTGAATAAGTGTGTACTGATATGCACTTAATTGAAGAAAGAGTTTTAAGTGCAATAGTCCTTCATTAGCTGAATATTAATTTTCCGTAATGTTTCTCGTTATTAATGAAAACGAATATCTATAATTGTAGTATTAGCCATTTTGTTGGTTATGCAATTTGCGTGTCCCCATTCATTTCACATTGTCATTACATTTCATTACAATTGCTGATTGTGTAGAATTAGAAGTGATTGATTGTGCTCAGGCTTCTGGCTCCTTATCGTCACTATCTTTATTGCACACCTTATGCCATCCAAAAAAGGGGAGAGCTTCTCAATCAAATCAAGTCGTCTTCCTCTTTCTCTTTCATGCCAGCCAAAACTACTACAAATTGTCGATCATAATGAATGCTGACTATTCATGAATAATCAATCAGATAATTTCAAAGTAATTTGACATTTCATTAATTTGTTTCCACAGATCGTGAAATTGTGATGGGACACGTTCCTCGAGGAAATCCACCGGAAGTAGATTGGGAGCCGTACTACTGCGTTTTGAATCAGCTCGACCAAATTTTTACAGGATATAGAAGTGAAGATTTTTACAAGGTAAGAGTGTTATATATATTTTTATTTGTCTGACTGTCGGTAAGTTATAAAAAATAATTTTATTGTTTAATTTCATCTAAATATCTACTTCCATTTTTCACTCTATTTTATTACACTCCATACTTCAATACCACATATTTAAATAAGTAAGTCAGTCTAAAACAATAAACAATGCTCAAGAATCTACAAATTTTGCGAATTTCATATTATATGTACTGATAGTTTAATATGATGATGAAAGTGTTCAGGCATTAGAAGCAAATATCTGTAATCTTGATTTACAATCTGGAAACCTACTCGATTCATGCATTTGTTTTTATACATCGCTCCTTCTTCACATCTTGACATTAAAACCTACCTTTGTTCCGATTGTTTACGCAGACCAAAGCTAGAAATCGCGATTAATAAAACATTTTAAGACCATGCAGATATGCGACGCGTTTCCGACCATTCAATCTACTATTACAATAACCCATTATAATGTAGGTAATCGACACAGGTATGTATAATAGTATGTGAAATGCGTTATTAATCGGTGAGATTTATTTGTTACGTGGGTGGACAAGCACAGCAGGATATGTTCTATTGTGTGGAACTAACTCTTTTTCATTTGACGAAACGCATAAGTTCAAGATGAGTATGATAATATGTGCCACACGTAGTTAATGATGCATTGAATGCTATTAATGTTGAAATATATATGAAATTGAACCTACAAAAATAATACCATCGGAGCAATAAGGGTGGCTTTTTGATCAACTATTCCACTTTGACTGATGTATTGAGCACAATCAACATCCTTAGTACATCTGACCTGTTCTGGATTCATTCATATCGAATCGAAATCAATTCGTATCAATCTATCTCTGACTCGTGTAAATAATATACTAGGCCAATAATGGTCCTAGTATATATAAATATGTAGGCTGTGGACAGAACAAAAAGTTGATTATCAAAACAAGATGACACATGTTAGCAATTGGAAAATAATGGATTTGTCAAGTAAAGCATATAATATGATTGACGTTGTTGGGAGCTGCCCGAGTCTGATATTTATTTGCGTTGGTGGACAGATTTTACGAGCATTTGTGCCAAGTAGTTTAGTAGGGGCATCAATTCATAATTGATTTCCCACAACATATATAAATTCACATATGCAATAAGAAATTATATGACTTGTTGGTTTCATTTTGTGTGAGAGAAAATCTATTACCTATGTAGAATTAGAGTGTAGTTCCGTCAAAACTGCACTAAAACGAAGGAAGTCGACATAATAAAATTGCCGGAACTATACAGTTTTTGAATTTGCGAACCAATTTCTTAAGCATAGCAAGTCATTCTGAGACAATGGATACTTGAGAACGGTGATACACAACACACCTTATACATACAATTCGGTTAATGTCTTGACAAGTACCAAAAGTAATACTGAATTTTAATGCACTTGAGCATTCAACAACTTTTTGTTTTTGCCAAGCTTGCATAACGGTACTTGCATAGAAAAGGCGCTGCTCTGCAGAAAAAGCACATGCATAACATTAAATAGACGGACTCATTCTACAGTTTATCAGGTATCGAAATGGGCTGGGGTTTAAAATCTCTTGAGGATGTGGTTGAATTGCGTGTTCACATAATTGTTATGCACTTGTTGAAAAAATAAAAAAAACAGATCTGCTCATGTTCATTATTTAAAGCATTTTACGTAAACATTTTACGTACTGAATCAATTTCAAATCCTGAGAGTCTTCCTGGCCTTCTTGGGCAGATATGTTAGATTTATGATTATATTATAAGATAATCGAAGAAAATGTTTAATCTTGAACTTCCTTTTCTTGAGCATATTATTACATGGGCTGCTTTTTCCTCTGAATTCAGAAATGACTAACACACCTCTTACAAGTTTATATATAACATATATAAAAAAAAATTCTGTATGTTGTGGTTTTGAACTTGCGTAAAAAATTTAGCGTGTCATGTGATTGGCCACAAGAAACAAAACCATGCAACAAATACAACTCTGTAATCACTGTCAACCTTCTGTTATTTACGAGGAAAACTTTGGAACGGAAAATTTTCTACATATTATTTGTATATATTATTTGTATGTTAGGATTTGATGTCCTGTTTTGAATTATAAATTGTGTTCACACGTGGAACGCGTTGAAAGGCCTGGCTCGCGAAACAGAAATATTTTATCCAATCAATTTTGGTAATTCGTAGATCTTTCCTGGAACTCCGACACGTCCAAGGAGTCAAAATAGTGGGGTAAGAAAATGGACTGCAAGTCGTAATTTCTGTCGTTTCCATCAGCTTGATCGTTTTAATGTTGCAAACCACACCCCTGCCTGAGCATGATTATATTGTGTCACATTTTTGTTCATGTTATTCAAGACTCCAATAGTGTTGAATGAATGCATAAAATTATTTCACTATTATTATTTATTTTTACTATTATTCGTGTAGTTTTAATGTATGTATGTCACCTGCACTTATTTATATAATTAATTTTTATAGAGTAAATAAATTATGTGTGGTGTGACCCACCGCTATGTGATCGTAAATGTCAACTTCAAAATTATAAACATGTTTATCTTTCCAGTTCTAATTTTTCTTAGTTATTTTTCTTGTGTTAATTATGTATGATTTTAATTATCGTCTTGAATGAATGGCTCATGTAATCATCACTATTTTTATTTTTATGTAGTTGACGGACAACGGGATATCTTCAACGGAAGTACCTCGTATGCGCTTGGACGGTGGTCCAAATAGCATAAAATGTCTAATCGGCAATGCTGCGAAATGGGGCATGAACACACTGCTAGAAGAGGAAGAAGAGTCAGGGATGCTCAATGGGAGCACAAATGACAAGAGCAAAAACGCCGATTCGTCCTCTGGTTCTATTCACAGAAACAGCAGCCCTCCTCTTGGTAAGTTCATGCAATTATTACAGGCATAATTCTTCATACCTCATACGACTCCGATAATCCCAGATGAGACAAAGAGACGCACATACTACTTCATACATAGTTCAAGCTGTTTGTTAAACCGAACAACCAATGAACGAGTAAGCATATGCTTACTCGATGTCATGACAATCTAGCTGCTACTACTAGATAGTTCATTAAATTATGATGAAGTTGAATTCAAATAATTTGTAATTAAGCAAAGACAAATGTATTGCCGTATATCTGTTATGTTAAAATGTGGATAAAGTAGGTCATGGGAAATAGCAATCACGGATTGCAAGAAATTGCGATAAATAATTATGGTTATCTAATATTTAAACGTTAGTCAAGACAAAGTGATTAGTATATGAATTATTGCTGATATTGTTACAGTCTTTCCCGAATCGCACATTTGCACGCATATGTACATACGTAGTAAAATGTTGGGAAGCAATTTTAATTCATTATCTTCTCTTTAACTGCGGTTTTACAAATATTTTCCTTCGCAGATTAGGCAAGCTAAGGTCTGCAAGTTTTTCTTTTGAAATAATAATTATTTCAAAAGAAAAACTTGAAAATCCGTCGTGCAATCAGCAATTGAAATAAACAGATCATCATAAAGTTGTTTGTCTGCCCTCTGCATCTATCTGACCAAAAGACGAGAGTTCTTTGTTGACCGTTCTCCAACTGATTATAGTTCTGTTCCACATAAAGAAGGAGACATGACGCTACTTCATCTGAACCACGATTCCCAATTGACTCGTTCCACACATACATTGCTCCGACACTAGTAGCTCCATTAAAAATGCAGTAATTATATGTGCTGAACTGTCGTTTATAGAACATTTCTCCGTGTGTGAGCGTTGGTGAAAACAAAACCTACACAGATTCATCATTATAAAAAGTTACCAGCGAGAAACTGATGTTGAAAATGATCTACCTGCTGCATGTCACCACAAAGGACAACGTAGGTCGGATCGTCACGAGCAGTTCTCATATCTTCGTCCATTGCATTTTTCGCCATTTCCCAAGTTGTGTGATGAATATGTTGCTCATCTTGTGCTAAAACTCGCAATCGTGCTGTTGCACTGTTACGGATCCTAACGTTCAGCAGGTCGCAGGTTTTACATGTGTCTGTCCTTGGCTCTCCTATAGTTAGCCCAGATCGCTTGAACACTCTTCGATAGATGGTCTCTTTCTTCTCAATATTAGGCACAGCAGGGTTTTCTTCAACAAAGAGTCTGAACATTCGATCCACATTTAGGTCAGGACTTAGATAAAACTGGCCTTGGCGAGCCCTACTGTAATGATTCTCTTGCTTTGGAAATGAATCGATATGCTCCTCAATTAAAGTTAACACATAATCTTCTGTAACTGGATGGTTTTCATGCCTCCCTCTCCCGTCAACTATGATAATTTGTCCTTGTTTGCTTTTGTTCTGCAGATTCTGTATTACGGAGTCTGTGACTTTGAACGTGTCAATGAAAGTTTTCTTGCAAACTCGAATACGGGCTCCGTTAACGGGTAGAAAATAGCTAAACATTCCGAGATGCATAAATAAGTGATGGTCAATGAGATATTTGGTGTAGACGATTCTACAACTCACCTAAAGTTGTTCGAATTATTCACCATTTCTCGTTCTATCAAAGCAAGGAGAAAAGATCGCTGGGAGTTGTACGATCCCATAGAATAATACGTTCTAAAGAGTTTGATTTTCTCAGGTAGTGGAATCAAGCAGCCAGGATAGAAACACTCTGCATTGCAAGGCTTTCCCTAAATATTGCCATGATTAAAGTCGAGTATGATTAAAATATCGGAGGAATATTTTTTTGTACCACTGGAGCAATTTTCCCAGGTCGTGGAGTGTTATTACGCGATATATAAGGTGCTCCACGCGCACGACGCTGTTTTGTGACTTGATCCTTCCATGTATCCGGACGAAATGCTCTTTTCCTCTCATTATTAGCATTAATGATCATCTTTTGAGACAATACAACCGCATTGACTTCTAATGGCTGCTGCATGTGGCCAGTAAATTTTAAACTGAGACAAAATTCTAAAATTACGGAGAAAATGTACGGTTTCTGCCTCTAAATTTGTCCCCACCAAAGGTCATTATTTACAAAAGTTGGAGAATTACGGGAAATTATTCCTCTAAACAATACACAATTTCTTAGCAACTGTTCAAAAATTCTTTAAAATTACGACCAGGGATATTGTTTTACGACCAACAGCCAGAATTTATCTATGAAGAAAATTGAGGACTGAAATTTTGCAGTTGGATATGTACATATAAACCGATTCAGCAGAATCTAGATGAAGGTTCCTTTGTACAGATTTTACGAAGGATATTTTGAAATAATTAAGCTGGTAGCGTCCCATTTGTCATTTGATTACTGCAGATTTATTATTGCAATTTAATTAATAGAATCTTGTCAGTCAAGCTTAGGATTAGCTACTACACGCTTGTACATACATTTCGGTCGGATGCCGTACGGTATACAGGAATGGGTGATTTGTTTCGCTCAGTCGAAATTAAAATAGAGATGTGTAGAGGAGTTGCAATAGGTTTGTGGGTTATAACGAGAGTAGCAGTCATGCAATGGTGGGTGGCAAGAATAAGGATTCAAAGATTCATAGTCAGACGCTCGTCTCATTCCAATCCGATTGTGGTCATGGGCCCAGGTGTTTTCCGAGTATTCATTAAATGAAATGAACTCATTCTACCACTGCCGTATGGTCTCGAGAAAGGAGAACTTCTGGAGTATTAGGATGCAAAACGAGCTTTATTCTCATGTCCTGGAATGTGGTGGTTTTACGACGAGCACAAAAGGCAGAGCGACCTTATATTACTGTCTCCTCTCTAAAGCTCCGTCGTTTCAGCTGTCTTATGTAGAAAGATATTCTGCAGAATTACTTTACTACTCTACATACTTGCCCCACCAACCCCACTCTGCCAGCTTGCACTACTTGGTTTTCTCTTCACATATTAATGGAGAAAGCTCTATAGGGAAGCCAAGAGCCAGAGCTTTATCTTAAGTCTAGTCAACTTGTGTGATGTATTCATTTTAGTTTGGTTTGTGGGTACAAAGTTGGAAAGAAAGTGGTGTTCTTTCACCTTCATCCTCATCATCATCATGCAAAAGATCGAATTGCAGACTGAAGGAGGTTCACATGTTAGTTAGTTGATGAAAGCGCCTCAACTGCCTCTTTGCCAGAAAACAACAGAATGAAAGCAACATTTCCCTTTCTTTCGGTGTATATTGTGTGATTAATCGTACCTTTCTTCTCATTTCAACTATTCTCATTTTCTATAGAGCTGTAATTATAATTAAGGTAAAAGTTGAGCATCGTAGCTTTCACCCAGCACTTCATCATAAATAATCTAGCGATTGTTCTCTTATGAAACTTGATAATAAGCATGGCCGTTGTCTTTCCTAAGGTGTACATACGTTACATGGTTTTCTCAGACGAAGATTAATCTAGCACTTTTCCAACTCGTCTGAAACTCAGTTGGTCGTTCTGTAATCTGTTCTGTAATGCAATTTCATTTCAACCTGCCGAGTTTGAGAGAGGGCTTCTCACTGTATTCAAAGTTTTATTTAATATCGGCCACATAATCGCATTTCTGCAAACGTGGTATGGGAGTAAACAAACAGACGCGGCTTGCATATGTACACCACACAATAATTGAGATACAGGAGGTGTCACTTGAGACAATGAGAACAGTTTTGAGGATTTTGCAATCTTTATTGGCATTGTTTGAATGTAAGACAATGATGCCACATTATCATGTTGCTACAACTTTACAATTGTTTCAGGTGTACACAAATTGCAACAACTGCTGTTGAATTGATTCTCAAGTAGATTGTTTAGCTGTTACCGTAATTTGTTTATTTGTAATGCGTTTTTGCAATTTATGACAATCTCTTTTGTACTTCAAATGAACCGATTATTTGTGTTGTGAAAAGGAGTTAACAAATCATGAAATTCCAATATTGCATGAGTCTCTCAACCATCTGAGAATTTATGCAGGACGCTACGTTTTGAAACACAATCCTGCATTTGCCACCTGTTTTTCTTTCGTGATAATAGGGGGTGTTGGTATCTTTATGGTAAAATGGTATCCTTCACTTATAGCGTTGGTGCAGACCAATAATTTCTTTAGTTCTGGTGTACGGGGCGACAGACCTGACAATAATACGTTGGGGACAAATAAATACTCTCATTCGAAAACAATGTACATTGTTTAAAGTGGTAAAGTGAATATAAATACATGTCTTCCGTGGTCTCATGACTATGCACACTGCACAGTCAGCACTAAACACAAAGGAATTATTGGGAGAGTGGTGTTGTACTTTTTATCAAGTTCATGGCATGGCATAGATCAACGTAAATTGAAATGGAATGGAATGAGTTTTTTTTCTGTAGACGAGCATTTAATAGAATTTATGCTGGTTGAGCCTTCTCTTTTCTGAGCTTCATTTAGATTGTTTCTCTCACTTCGTTGGAATGCTTTAGTTAACTTTTGTGGTACATAATTTATTGTGTTCCACTATGCTACCGAAACCGGAATGAGTTTCGGTTTTGTGCCGAGTAATGTGGGGGTGCGTTGATGAGACAGGGATTCTGACACAGAACATTATGTATACCCTTCCACTCCACAAGAATGCACGAGAGCTGAACGATGTCAAATTGAAACACAAACAAGAACAAACACTGAGATGGGCTACCTGAAATGGATTCATGGTTGGAAACAATACTTTATTCCTGCCATATGTACGAGTTTAAATAAGTGGTAGTGGGGAATAAAGAGTCAACTAGACAGGTTGCATGTATTTATGTAAAGACAATTTTGATTCAGAAGAACAGGAGCACATCCATAACAAAAACAGTACACTCGGCTTGTACTATTATCTTGATGTTTAATGTAAAATTATATTGAAGTAAACTTATCAGAGTGTGACTTTTCTCCCCCCACT